CTTCATATGGCACGGAATATATCAGATACGTTGTTTCAAGCGAACCTCGCAGTGGGTGTGGCTAGACGCGACCTGGCGGTTAGCGTACTAAACTGTGAATATCCTTTTGTTTTTAATCTAAATTGAACTTAATTTCAAAACCAAATATTCTGTCTGGATTATGTGATACGATGATATAGAGAAAGAAAGTTGCTATAACACATTCATGTAAGAAAATCATAACCAGTTCAAGAGCCCAATGACTATGGCTATGACAGTTATCTCATCTCTATAAAAACACCGCTCTCTCAGTGGTGATTGAGTTTCGATACGATTTTAAAAAAGGTTTTGGTTTTGTTTATTGCGAAACATATATACTTATCTCTTGCACCATATTAAATATAGCTTAAGATAAATCTAGCTGAGGGTACCCGTTAAGGAAGCAATAATTATTTAAAGGAACATGTTAGATAATTGAATAATTAGAATTGTTTAAACATTTGTTTAACAAGTTAAAGCTTGGAATGGTCTATTCTTTCATTGGGGTGTGTGTCTATGAGCCACACTAGTTTCGGAGAATTCCACTCCTCATCAGTGACCCTGGACACTACCACCAATGAAATATCAGACCAAACCAAGCCTTCATACTAGTGAGGTATCGAAAATCAAACTGGTGAGTGTAAAACACGTAAATACACCAGTCTGATGTTAGATAATGTTCCTTTTCCTTCCTACTTTTGTTATTAAATCCCCAATGACCTCATTAGATGCTAATTGCATACCCTGCTTTGTGGAAGGTAACGATTGACTCAATTAACTGATTAAGTACTTATGTCTTTAAATTCAAAGCCGAACGTTTATTAAAAAGTGAAACTGTGCTCTATTTCATGGTGTTTTTATCCCCCTTCTCTGGTTAAAAATCCTAAAACAAGATAGCCCATGTACACCGTCGGACAGTTTCTAGTTACCATACCCAAAACTACACATACACATAATGTATCATCTTTAAAGCAAGATACAGAAAATTACTAAATTCGCGGGTCTCGAATCTGTGTCTAATTGTTTGTAAAGTGCATTCAAGAATGCAGGAAAATAGAGACGTTATCGTTCACTAACACCAAAAAAGGCTAAAAACTGTACACTTAGACTAAGAAAGATTAAAAACTGTACACTTAGACTAAGGAAAGCTAAAAACTGTACACTTAGATCAAGAAAAGTTAAAAACTGTACATTTAGGCCAAGGAGGGTTAAAACTGTACACTTAGAACAATACTCGAGGAAATCTCGTGACATTTCGCAAACAGCACATTCAAGTCTTTTACCTGTAACTAGCCAGCAGACAAGATATGCCATATCTATAGAACACATCTTTTATATCATACTAAATTTATCAACAAGTTACACGCTATAATAGATTTACTTTGTAAGAAAGCCCCCAGCTCGTTGTTGTATGGTATTATCATGTAAATATTACTTGTGACATTCTACTGAGTAACATAATTTCACCCTTTCCTAAAAACAGAAAGAAAAAAACGTTGCCGAGAGTCGGTTGATACATAGAAAAAAAACGTTGTCCAAAAAGCGTTGATACATAGAAAAAGAAACATTTCCCCGAAAAGCGTTGATACATAGAAAAAAAAACGTTGTCCAAAAGCGTTGATACATAGAAAAACGTTGTCCAAAAAGCGTTGATACATAGAAAAAAAACGTTGTCCAAAAGCGTTGATACATAGAAAAAAGAAACATTGCCCCAAAAAGTGTTGATACATACTAGAGGGTTTTTATTTTTACATAAACATTTGTTTTGTTGTTGTTTTTTCGTGTGGCTTGTCTTAATAATTTAATATATTTACTTCAATGATTGCTTAAGAATAAACGATTGACGTCCTCAAACTATTTTTTTTTCTACTACGTATTATACGAGGTACTGTGTAAATATGTAATTTTTATTTGTCAATTTATATGTTTATATATATATGTATCTATACTTTTTTGTGTGTAGGAATCGTTCATTGATCAGGATAATGAACTTTTCCGCAAACTGTTGTCTCTCTACGACACGATCGCCGAATTGAGGGATCGTCAGCAGAAAGCTGAAGAGGACACTAGCGACGATGAAGCTGAAGACAGTCCAAGTTTAGAATCACTGTCCGATACATATAATCAAACAACCACAACGTCGCCTTCTTCAACATTATCCTCGTGCTCTAGTCATTGTGTACAGAATAAACCCTCCATTCTTCCACGTGCACCTCACGGTAGTCATTTGGAAAACTCCACACAGCGCCAGCTATCGAGCAACGGCGCAGAATGCTTTCGATGTTGCTCAGGAAAAAAGATGGCGCCACAGTACAATAGACGACGAGCCAAATCCTACGGCATGTTGTATTATCGGGATGACGACGTTCCTTCGTATGATTCTGGAATATATTTACAAGGCTATCACTCGGACTCCGACCACGAAATATTTGTGTAATTTAGATAAAGAATTATCTCTACGGCTTTACTAGAGTAGTAGTTTTAATAACTAGTCCTTTTGTTAACGCATAGAAATGTTTATTCAACGAACAGTGGCTCCTTGCACTTTTATAAATAGTGCACAATGGATATTAATTAATTTAGGAAATAACAATAATATTTCTGGCTGAATGGGAAACGAAAAAGTTTTGTATTAAAATAGTTTTACTTCGCACAAATAAAAGTAGGATATTGTGCAACAACCGCAAAACAATTTCGAAAGTTTTACCTATTATTTCAATGTATCGATCTCTTTCAGACCAAATACTTTTATTAAATAAAGTTAAAAAGAAATTTTGATATTATGGGCTTTAAATGCTGGTTATATGAATAGTTGAAGTGTTTTTGTTTTATGTAAAGAGAACAGAAGTTGAAAATTTAAAGCCACGAAGAATATACTGTATTTAAGTAATTTGCCAACCAATAAATTAGATTTTAGTCTTTGCAGTTTTTATGCCTCATTACTTAAAAAAACCGATTTATTTTTACCTCCAATTGCCGTAACATTTTTTTTTTATTACGAAGAGTTATGTACTTCTATTTATGGTAAAGCTACCCCCCCAGTTGCCCCAAATTTTGAATTACTGACGAGAGGGAATTAAAGCAACCAGGCAGCTAAGGGTTTGTTTGTAATTAAGCACAAAGCTACACAATGGGCTATCTGTGCTTTGCCCATCACGGGTATCGAAATCCGGTTTCTAGCGTTGTAAGTCCGCAGACATACTGCTGTGCCACAGAGGGGCGGCAGCTAAGGGATTAATTGTCTTATAATGCACTCACAACTTAACGTGCAGAGAATTCAAACCCGGTTCGCCATCTCTGAAATTTAGAGCTCCACCAGAGGGCAAACTGACACTCCAAGAGACATTTAAAGTTTGATTATTTTAAGTTCCTAGCCCAATATTCCTGAATGTATTTATTTACAGTCTTGTGATATAAAGGAGTATTACCTATTTATACATTTTTTCTTTTAATGCCCTCTGGTGGTTGTAATATGCCGAGTCCATCAGGTTCACTAAATGAAATAGGTCATGTTTGATAATTGTCTAATATATATAGTTGGGTTGCAGGCCTTGAAAATAAATAAAAACGTAAGAGTGCTTTCCAATACGTCCTGTTCAACACACTGGCTTATATACTATAGAGAAGAAAATAATTTAATCCTCCCTCTAAAAGAAATAGCGTGTGCTGTTACTGGTGGTAGGACAAATAGGATTTTACTTTGGATCTACAGAAATATTGAATACAAGTCTAAAGAGGTTATAGTTTCATTGTAAAGATCACTGGTTAGGTTACATTTAAAGAATTGTGTTCAGTCTTGGGCTCATTATCTAAGGAAGGTCATTGAATTTCTGGAAAAGGTTCAGTTTGTTTGTTTGTAGTTAAGCACAAAGTTACACGAAGGGCTGTCTGTGGTCTGCCCGCCACGGGTTTCGAAACCAGATTTCTAGCGTTATAAGTCCGCAGACATACCGCTGTGCCTCGGGGGGGGGGGCGGAAAGGGTTACTAGAATGGTGCCTGGGATGGAGGAGTTGTCATATGAAGAGGTGTTAAGATATCTGAAATCGTTTTCTCTTGAAAGAAAAGATCTGATTGAGATGTTTAAGATTGTTAAAGGAATTGACAGTTTTGATGCATCATCCTTTTTCATACTTAATAGCGATAACAGTAGGACTAGGGGACACAAATATAAATTTTGGCCATAATTATATATATCTATGTGTGTATGTGTTAATTTTAACGGGAAAGGGGGAATTTGATTATTAAAAAAAATAATCGTCTATTGAGCATTGTTTATGATAGTAAAAACCACACTTGAACTTTAACAGGCGGATGTTTTTTTTAAGGCCAAAGAATCCACTCGCATAGGTGCTATTTTTCCTTTAAGGCTATGTTGATTAAACTCTTTAAAACACTTGAAATTACGAGTTTAGTTTTGTATGGATAAATATACTAAACATTGAATTAATACATTTTTTACCGAATAAAAACGAAAACTTCTAAACTCAAGATTTATATATATTTCTAAACATAGCATATTTTATTTTCAATCGTTCAGGTGAAGTATTTGCTCCCAACATCCGAAGGAAACCCATTCCAGAGGCAAACTACCCTCTTAAAAATAAAACTGTCTGAGATGAAGATGACTCCTACTTTATTGCACCGTTCTTTTCCACAGTATTTATCAAGTTCGTAAAATGTGCCTAGATTCACCCGATGTGTGACGATTTAACTATTTCTAAAATTCGAATTTCTCATTTAAAGTTTTGGTTTAGCGAATAACTGAATGAAATAATTAGTATATTAACTACGACTGGCGTCAAAATTTAACAACTTGAAGATTTATTATAATTTTTGCCGCATAGCGAACGTCGGCGGTATTTCTTTTTACATAATTTATAGTTTAACAACAACAACAGAAAACACAATTCATTCACACACCCGAATATTTCATATTTCGTGGAATTTTATTAAAGCCATTGTTTTTCAAAATTACGTTCTTACTTACATAGCTTCGGAAAGTTATAAATGCTGTTTGAAAATCAGAAACGTTAGGGTAACTCTTACGTAGCACAATTACGCCCTCTATACAACACTCGTGTAATTAAAATGTGGCCTCCTAAATGCAATATACACAAATGTTTCTGAACTTAACTTAGACAAATAAAAAGGATTAAATAACAGTGAGAATAGGTTTAATGATATTGGAAACAAACAAACAACAACAACAACAAAAAGAGAATACATTAGTATTGATAGGTAAACACATTTGGCGGGAACTTGTAATCCACAGTTTGGCACGTTCCCTACAAAAATAAACTGGAAGCTTCAGCATTAAAAAAAAAAAATCAAGTTTAACTGTGCTGCCGCCTAGAGGACAGAATGCAAACTAGCATGCTATTTATTTTGAGGTATTCAATAATCATGACATAAGTAATAGTATAACTTCATTTGGATGTTAATATATAAAAATCGTTATTCACACAAACTATTAATTCCTACTGCACCAGTTTACTAATTAAAACCACCTTTTCAATCAACAAATATTCCAAAATTTCATGTTTGGATATATTTTCATTTCTTAAAATTTTTTTTAGATGTTATCAAAATTTTACGCGTTAGTTGAATACATTTTTTACTGACCAACAGCATACACAAACAACAAAATAATCCTAGACTTCTCTAAATAAGTCACAACATTTGGTGTGACGAAAGAGAATCTTTATAATAAAAATGCCGACACCAATAATACATATTTAAATCACTCTTTAAATCATATAGGAAAAAAAAATACCCTTCAAATTTTTTTCTAGATGAGAATTTTAAGGATAACTGAACAAGTTCCAAACATAAAGCCTAATCGTGTTCTTCTCCTTTAGGTTATTTAACGTACAGTCAAATGCATCTCTCCCCCAAATATTAACGTAGCAGTGATTTTTTTTATCTCTCGAGACATAGTGAATTTAAACTTATGTTTTTGCAAAAACGTTTTGAGTATATTAATAGCTAAAGTCAACTGATAGAAACAGTTAAATCTACATCAAACGTATTCAACACCTGCACTTCAAAATTGTAGATGCTAACGTTTTCACTGTCGTATTTCAGCATCTACTAGAATAGCTCAAATATCCCGAGTTATTTCGAAACATGCTCACCAGGTGGATTGGAATTAGTCGGTCGCCTTCTTGTAAGCTCGCTTAGATTGTTGTTTAACGAAAACAAATGCTACCAAACCACACAGAAACCAAGCTAGATGGAAAGCAAGAGTGATGATGATTGGCTGATAGAGCGGCCATGTTGTTTGGTAATCATGTAAGTGCAGTACGTCGGAATCACTAACTATTCCACAATCGGCTTTCACTAGGATGCCGCTTTCCTGTTTCACCACAGGATTTCGAGTGCAGTAATACTTGGCATCACTCACTTGCTTACCTGTAAACTCCCAGATTACAACTTGCTCCATCATCCATCGCATTGGAGATACCCACTGTAACCAGAACAGCACTGGAGACAAACCAGTGAAATGGACTGTATATCCGGCAGGGGTTGCACAGAGGGTTAGAACGAAGCCAGCCAAACCCGCCGCTAGGTGGCGTGAGGACAGCATCCAACCAAGAGCCATAAAAAGCATTCGCATGGTCAGTAAGTACAGCAGCATGTAGCCTATATAGATACCAAAGGAGCCGACTCTGGAGTCCGATTCCAACCCAGCTATGGAATAGACTGGCACGATGTAAGCGAGACACACAGCAGCAGCTGGTGGTAAACTGTAAGTCAGCTGCAAAAGAAACACCAACAGGAGACATATTAGGTTACTGCGTTCATTCTACACGTGTAAAATTTAAAAACAATTAATTCCTTAATCAGGATATCAAAAATTATTGAATACATATAACATTAGATGGCGTAGATACACCATTACCAGGCGCCCAGGTTTTGGGTCGCACGCCTAACAAAAAATGTAAACAGAATACCACCAATACTTTAATAAGTCCAACTAAGTACTACTCGAGTCTAGGTATTTTATCAAATTTTCTTGATCAATTCTTTATACTATAACAAACAAAAACTTGTGCAATAAGAAGATGTACGTGAATCTCACGATAGTAAACGGTATACAAACAAGACGGTAAATTAAAATGATGTATGTGGACCACGCAATAGTAAACGGTATACAAACAAGTCGGTAAATTAAAATGATGTATGTGGACCACACGACAGTAAACGTTATACAAACAAGTCAGTAAATTAAAATGATGTATGTGGACCACACGATAGTAAACGGTATACAAACAAGACGGTAAATTAAAGTGATGTATGTGGACCACGCGATAGTAAACGGTATACAAACAAGACGGTAAATTAAAATGATGTATGTGGACCACGCGATAGTAAACGGTATACAAACAAGTTGGTAAATTAAAATGATGTATGTGGACCTCAATGTAGTAAACGGTATACCAACAAGTCGGTAGGTTAAAATTTTGTATGTGGACCACACGATAGTAAACGGCATACAAACCAGTCGGTAAGTTCAGATGGTGTATGTGGACCACACGATAGTAAACGGTATACCAACAAGTCGGTAAGTTAAGATGGTGTATGTGGACCACACGATAGTAAACGGTATACAAACAAGTTGGTAAGTTAAGATGGTGTGGTCCACATACACCATCTTAACTTACCGACTTGTTGGTATACCGTTTACTATCGTGTGGTCCACATACACCATCTTAACTTACCAACTTGTTGGTATACCGTTTACTATCGTGTGGTCCACATACACGATAGTAAACGGTATACAAACCAGTCGGTAAGTTAAAATGGTGTATGTGGACCACACGATAGTAAACGGTATACAAACCAGTCGGTAAGTTAAGATGGTGTATGTGGACCACACGATAGTAAACGGTATACAAACAAGTCAGTAAGTTAAAATTTTGTATGTGGATCCCACAGAGAGTAAACGTGATGAAAAAGTAATCTTTTGTTCTAATAAGCAAGATTTCATAACACTACATTTACTTAATCAGAGTAGGCTTCAGTGTCTACAACTGAGATTTTATCCAATGTTTTATTGTTGAACAGATACGTCAGATTAAAGACTTTTTAACGCAACAACTGAGAATTTGCTCTGAACAACAATTAGGGCGAAGTCATAATCATAGTCTACATATTTAATCATCTTAAAATGACAAAACACCAAAAGACCACTGCAGGTCACTTTCTTTTGCATATTTTGTCATACTTTTTATCCAAGATAGTTTCCTGCTTCAACAGTCTCAATGTCATACATTAATTACATAAAAAGTAACCAAAATGATTACTACCTTAACAATGGAACAATTAACACGTAATAAAAGTCTTGCTTTAGCTACGTCATTTAAAAAAAATTAATTGACTTACAAATAATTTCCTCTAAAAACATAATTACTACTATTACTACTGCTACCTCAATAAATTACTACTATTATTATTATTACTACTGCTACCTCAATAAATTACTACTATTATTATTACTACTGCTACCTCAAAAAATTACTACTATTATTATTACTACTGCTACCTCAATAAATTACTACTATTACTTAAAAGCAGTCATCCTAGTTTTTTTACCAAGAGTTTCATAAAATTTTGAGGTATTTGAATAACTATTTTGAAAGTTGTAGCTTGCAAGGTGTTTTTATTTCATTACGTAGCTACGGTTGTAGCTTGTAAGGTGTTTTTATTTTATTACGTAGCTAAGGTTAATTTCGAATTCTCAATTAATATACCATAAACTTTAATTCAAGTATGAAAAAAATATTCATATAAAGTCAAGCATGTTATATCAGATCCACTTCTTTAGATTTCAATAAACATGAATATTTAGGAAGTAACCTACCTTTGATATGAGGTACGCCAAACGGGAATACAGCCCCTCCCTTATGTCACGTGATACAAGGTCTTTATCTCGCCATACTAGTGAAATAAAAATATTCTCTGGTTAAAAACTAGAAAATTAGTGAATTATATTATGATGCAGAACAAAACTGATTAATACAAGACACTCTAAGGACGTGATCCGATTTGATTCAACTGATGTATGAAAACAATTTAAAATGTGTTAAAAACTCTTAGTAAAGCTACTGCCCCACCCTCCACAGATATCTTAGTAAAGTTACTAGCTGGCCCGCAAATGTCCTAGTAAAGCCATTAACTCACGCAGAAACATCTTAGTAAATCTACCAAATCATCCAGAAACATCTTTAAGCCACAACCTCAGAAGTAGTACATGATGTTTTCCTTCTTCCTGTAAGAATTCGTTCTATTTGCCTGGTTGGGCAGAAATGGTGAGTAGATCCTGCCATCTTTATATATATAGCGTTTCGTGACGTTAGTCTTTCTATATTCAAGGTTGCCATGGCCTTGTGTAAATCATGATGCTCCAACAGCTTTTATGTAAAAACATACATTTGTGAGAAAACACTATTGTCAGAATATGATTTAAATACACTTGCCATTGTTCAGGATTGTACTTTGTCAGTTTTAATTGTCCCCGTTTCATGCAATTAAGTAGTTAAAAATTAAACGAAATTATAACCGAGAAATAGCCATTATTCAGAAGACTAATTTTACTTAGTTTAGAATAATATTTTGGTAAAATTCTAAATTGGTGAGGAAGTACAGTATTATTAATCTTACCATCTGTTATGTAATTCAACATCATCGGCAACAAGGCCACGCCCATTATGACGTAATACATTCCGATCCTATCAAGAACGAACTCTTGTTCAAGTCCACCTCGAACTTTCCAGTAAATTACTCCAACCAGAACAGACATCAACGAAGACAAAAATACGTTATTGATGAAGTGCAGAACATTGTAAGGAAACATGTAGATTAAAACTCGTCTGGAATGGAATAAACGAATGATTCATATAAAAACGATTTAAAAAAATAGCAACATCTATTTCGAAATTATTTTCTTATTAATCAAACAAGATATTCCTACAAGTTTTACAAGTAACTGGAAATCAATGACATCTATCTCGTTCTTGAACTCTTGAAAATGAAACTGGAAGGAGCAAGAAAGTCATGAACTTTCACATTGGTTTCTTGTCTTATTTTTCCTTAACCAAAATTTACTATTTTAGTAATTTTCGTTATGATCTCTATATAATATATTAATACAATTTTGCATGAGAAAAAAAAAGTTCCCGGCGAAATTAATTAACGTATTTTAAAATATATCACTGCCGTGAAAAGATGTGTGATACCGCTTTAGAAAGTGCTGGCAGTAGACTTTTTTGTAATACAACTCTTAGACCCTATTTTAAGTTGTTTTTTTAACATCAGATGGCAGCACATATAACCTTGATACAAAGAACCACGTGAAGATTGGGAATAAAATAAACACACCATAGACTATCCATCAGCCTTAATATTTTACAACACACACACACACACAAGAAGTTATGTCTCGATATAAATGATATGCCATCAAATCAAAATTGTTACGAATAAATCTAATTTTTCTACATTACAATAAGAACAGCGATCTCAAGTTTTAAACTTTATTATCAAAATGTCATTAAATTTTAGAGTTAATCTTTCTTTGGATAACTGTAGATTCCAAGTTTTTTTTTTCAGAAATAAAAATACAACAAATTATTTACTTGGTGCCTTGGTCACACATGAACCAATACTTGTCACTCCTTCACCTCGGATAATCCCGGTTTCAGTAGTGGAAACATTTGTAAGCCTATATTTATATTAACTTTTAACTGTGTATTTTTTCTAAATACCCCCTAAACACACTTTAATATAGACTATCTAACGACACAACTCATTACACAGAAAAATCTGAAATTCCGCTTACATCCAGAGAGCTAAAACCTGAGAGAAGAAACCGGCTCGTTTGACAGTAGGTGGGGGCATGGCTGGAGGACCAGGATCAGATAGCGCCTCCTGTCGACGACGGAATATTTCTGCAAGATTTTCAATTCGTTGACTCGACTCCAACATGGCTTCCGGTGACAAACTATCCAGTGTCACTAAATCCACTAACAGATAAATAATAAAAATTGATAATTGTTTGAAAATCCTTTTTTTTAAACAAATTTGTAATTACAGGTCGCATTTAGAAAATTAATAAACCAACTCGAAAAATAAGCACGTTTCTTCATATTGGATAAAACACCCACACATGATCAACTATGCAAACTGTAATAAGAAAGTCTTAATGTGAAGGTATTAGACTCCTAAAGATAAAACGAACGTAAATCAACTAGAACAGATATTAATTAGGACCAAGTAATTTTCTTCTTATAAACTAAATGTGTAGAAGAAGAAAGTGTTCTGCAATATATATTGTATTTTTTCTTTAACGTCATTTTCATTAATATATTAAACTTTCTAACCAATATTATCGGTTTATATATTTTTTAATTAGTAAATATTTTACCAGAAAGATTATTTTCGATTGTTCGCTTAGTATGCCAACTTCAGACTAACCCAAGCTTCCTAATCTGGTCGAACCTAGTAAGATACTATTGGGATTACTGCCGAAAACATCTCTAACAGAGAGGGTATCCTCATGATGAAACAATGCATTTTACGTTAAATTAAATATATCAATAACCGAGTTTATTTTTACTTATTATGTAGGTAAATTGCTTTGATCAAAGCTATGACTTTTTTACAATGGCTACTCACAGTAATAATCAGATGGATTCTTATAGGCTGGGCAAGGAAAATCAATGTAAGCAAAGTACGGGAGCATGTCTTTTCGCTTTCCAAAGAACAGCGCTCTTCCCGTGGAAACCAGAGCAACTATAAAAAATAATAATAAACAGAACTGTCAAAAAAAAAACAGCAACAAAAAGATGCATAACTAAAGACAAATTGGGTACAAAGAAGAATTTATTTGTTTTAGTGCAAATATACGCAACGGGTTATCTGCGGTCTGTCCATCACAGGGTATCGAACTCCGGATTTTGTATTCCAAGTCTATAAACTTACTACTGAAAAAAAACAAAATAATTACAAACGACAAAAAAATAAAAAAGCAAACAATAACAACAGACAATACAAGTTTATTATATTACGGTGGTAATAATTGTCCTGGTTGATATACTGATTTGTCTTATTAATATTAAGTTCGCTGAAACTTCATGCACAACATTACTTTTCAACTTATGTCTGAATTACAACCGAATAAACCAAGTTAACAACTTTCCGATAGAAAATCATTAAACTTTCATATATAAAACAGTTGCTTTCAGAAGTACAAATAAACTGCGAAGAATGGGGTAAATTACTTCTTGAAATCATGGAAAATATTTCATAAGTCGGTGGATGGATAGTGAGAATCACTATACGCCCCCTAGCGGCCCACTGGCGAAGATATTCCACTAGGAAGAAAGTGTCAAAGATGTCCATTCCTTTAGTTGGTTGATCCAACAACACAATGTCTGTAACATGAATAACAATTAAATTAACTGCAAGCATTCTAACGTCATTCCACCAAACTTTAAGTAGAAATATCTTTGTTTTGAGCAATTAAAAGTATATATATATAATATGTTAATATATGCAGTAAATCTATTTAGTTAAGCTTTCTCTAATATTCAATAAAATTTTAAACACAAGTAAAAACATATTTACGTCTACGAGTAGATTTTAAGAATTCTGATATTAGTCGAATAAGAAAATTTTTATCAATCTAAAATATTTAAGAAAATATCAAACAGAAATCAGTGTACAGTGCTGCCGCCTACCGGTATCCAACAAAAGTCGACAAGCAACGTTAAGTCGGCTTTTCTCCGATTCTGTGAGATCACGAACTCGCGTGTGCTTTACTTGCCCAAGGCCAAGATCCTCCAATAAGGCATTAATCTATATTAGAAAATGAACCAATGAATCATCAATAATAAAGTTCCTAAAATTATCAATTTTCAAAATATCTTTTTACACAATTGTATTTTCTTCAGATAAAGCTAAGCGTGGTTATACAAGAAAACGGTACTGGTGAAAGACTTCCAACACCAAATAATCAAACGATACATAAACCAAATATCGATAAATCTTAGTTAACTTAAATATAAGCCTCTAAAAAAAAATCCCACAATTCTCCTCTTCATGCGAGTAGCTATCCTCGACATCAGTTGCTTAAAAAGAACGATTTTGTTAAAAGTTCAGATCATATTTATCGCTATTTGCTATGCGACTATCGTGAATTTTCTAAGGAAGTATTCACTTACCCACAATATTTATAATTTAATGCGATAACTTTAATTTTGGATTGAGTTTCGCTAAACCTAATTGTAATACTAACGTCCAGAAAAAAGCCATTAAAATTTAACGGTACACGTGCATTTTTTTCGTATATGTACCTTTCTATAATAAAATGAACTTTTAATTAATACAACATGAAAGTAATTAACAAATTAATCCAAAGGTTTGAAGTTTCACCTACTCACTAAAGCTAGTCAAAGCAGGGAAGCACTTTAATTAAAATTCATGTTTTTTCTTCTTACGAGTGCTGAAGTTAATTTTGTAAAGCACAACACACACACACACACACATATATATATATATATATATATTATATGGTAAACAGTAAATATGTTAACATTGTAAGTGTTTTCTTACGGGTTTCGCGCAAAGCTACACGAGGGCTATCTGCGCTAGCCGTCCCTAATTTAGCAATGCAAGACTAGAGGGAAGGTAGCTAGCTAGTCATCACCACCCACCGCCAACTCTTGGGCTACTCTTACCACGGCTAAAAGGTCGAGCATGTTTGATGGGATGGGGATTCGAACCCGCGACGCACAGATTGCGAGTCGAGCGCCCTAACCACCTGGCCATGCCGGGCCCAACATCGTAAGTAGCTTTGAAGCACATTTTTCTTGTATTAATAGCTGTTGCTGTTTTAATAAAGACTTTTTTACTTAAATAATATAACGATTATTATGTATTAAGCTGCACACAAAATATTTAACGGAATATAATATTTGACATTACCTAGTCCAGGGGTCATTATTTCCCAATTTTATGTTTGAATGAGAAATATGCAGCTTAGTTCTACTTATATAATTAATTCTCCATTGAATTCGAATTCAATTTTAAATATATTTTCCATTCGTAGTGTTTTCACGTGTAAAATATAAATTCACGGGCTCTGTCAAAGGGAACAAATCTCCAGACTGCGATAAAATCAAGATATATTGTTTAAAAACGCAACTTTCTGTGAGTTATGCAATATCCCACCTAAGAGATTATTCACGAGTTAGTGAAGCAACCCAATATTCACTGGATAGGTGGTTAATACAGCTGACGGTGGCAACCCAAGTTTTCCTAGTTAGGTGGTTAATACAGCTGACGGTGGCAATCCAATGTTCACTAGTTAGGTGGTTAATACAGCTGACGGTGGCAATCCAATGTTCACTAGTTAGGTGGTTAATACAGCTGACGGTGGCAATCCAATGTTCACTAGATAGGTGGTTAATACAGCTGACGGTGGCAATCCAATGTTCACTGGATAGGGGGTTAATACAGCTGACGGTGGCAACCCAATGTTCACTAGATAGGGGTTAATACAGCTGACGGTGGCAACCCAAGTTTTCCTAGTTAGGTTTTAATTTATGCTTTTAAAACAAGAAATAAAAACTGAAATATTTCAGCCTTCAAATTTTTGTACCTGGAACTAAAACTATGTCAAACCATTACAGCCAAGGAAAACAATTTATTAGTACAAACCCGTCCTTTTGTGTCCCTATTTCTGCTCAAGTCGCTCGGTTCTTGAAGAAGGGATGCGAAAAGAAGAGTCTGTCGAACGCTCATATCTGGGCTGAACTCAGATTCTTTCTGGACATACGCAACACACTGCTCCAGCTCAGTTGGTAACATGCGCAGTCCATTAACTATGATGTCTCCATGTAAACGACACCGCACCTTGCGGTAGCGATTCGCCAAAATTTCTAGTATGGTAGTGCCCTCTAGTACTAAAAGTAGACAACATTTTTTGCGGGTTTAATATTCTAAAATATTTCAATAATTACAATACAGTATATATAACACAATTGTATATTCAATTATAATACAAACCTATACGCATTTTGAACAAGCAAAAAAGTTCGAAAAGGCAAACTTAAAACTGCACTGACACACACAAACTTAAGGTACTTCTTAATATACTGAATATCTAAGTAACGATAAAATTTGTCTTATAAACATTATTTTTTGTTCTTGTACAAATAGTGTATTGGACTTAGATTACGAGATTTTGGTAGATAAGTAATCTTCCAATTTTGTTTTTAAGGTGAGTTAAAATACAGTTGTGTACCTGTAGATACAAACTTGAATATTACTTCGATTTTATTTTTTTACGAGTAACTATAGTGTGGTCACGTACCTGTAGTCGCCATGATGGCGAGGATCTCTCCTCCGCGGACCTCAAAAGACAAGCCATCCAGAAGCCTCAGTTTTGTTCTGGCACCCCCACACAGCCTCTGGAAAGCTGAGGATTTATCGATTTCGAACGACATGTCCCGCACCTGCAAATGAGGGTGTTTAACAGGAATACTTTCACTTTCTCCACCAGGTAGGGTCGAGTAGAAAGTGTCTTTAGGGAAGAATTTGTCGTTTAAGATGGGCATTTCGTTTCCGTAAAATCCATCCAGCCGTGTATCTCCTCGAACTTCGTGATGTGCACGAGACGCACGCGAGTTCAGTGAGATATGAGATCCAGCTTTTGATCCTGCATAGTTGCGTCTTTCGAAGTGACCCACGGCTCTTGGCATTGGATCTCGATGATACCCATCACGTGACTCGTGTTGGGCGCGCATGACCCGTTGTTTGGCGTTGCGATAGTCTTGGCGGTTGTACATTTCGGGACTCAAGAGGTCAGCTTCGCTACTGGCTTTTAGTCGTCGTTCCGGGCGCACAAATGACGTTTCGGCTACACGATCATCTCGGCGAATCACGTGGTTACGAAAATCTGGATCGCTCCGAGCACGTCGTCTGTCCATATAAGGAGATTCGTCGTCACTGGAGTCGTAACCGCTCGAGCCGTCGCGATGTAGTCGAGAAGGAGGAAATACGCGTGGCAAACCGAAACGAAGGTAGGAAAAAATACTTCCCCCTAATTCTGATTGCCGCTCCCTTGGGCCGTATTTAGGGTGGTTCAAAATGGTCTGAACGGTTGATTCTCGAAGCTGGAAGTTTCCGAAAGGAGGTTGAGATTTTTCCGAAGTTCCCAGAGCGCTGTCGGTAAAATCAGAGTTCAGATTTTGCCTATAGATGCTCCAGGCATGTAAATCCTCGGTAGTTCGATATCTTGTCGCTGGTTCTGACAGCGTACTGGAAGGGATAGCGTAACGGCGTTCCATAGTGCCCATATCCCCCATCTCTCGGCTGTCCTGGAAAAATAAGAATTAGCTGTGTGAAATAAACTGAAATATAAAAACAGCAGCTAAACAGTGGTGTTAGATAGGGGCTAATACATCATACTTACAAGACGGTGCAGGAAAAAAACAAACACGGTTTACTTTAAAAAAAAAATACTAATCAAGTTATAACCGTGGACTTATCTAGAACCCCAGGCTCAAATAATTGACAACAAAATCCATAAACTGATGTGAAACACGAACCTTAGATTTTTTAACATTTCCTGAGACCAGTTCAAAATCGAAAGTACTTGCAATATGGCATCTAGCGTTCGTATTAAAAGGTCGAACCAAATATATGTTAATTATATTTGTTGACAGACGTTTGTCTGGGTTTCAAACACGAGAAGATGCAACCAGTAACCGAACCAACGTATAACAGATTTCCAACCCAACCAGGATCCATTTGTAAATAAAGTTTCCTAGTAAATTAACCACAGAATTACCGCCGAGGTTGTAGCCTTCAACTTTTTAAACACTACTAATGATGGAATATTCGAGTCGTTTTTATCTCACCAGATAGTAAATTAAATTAATTTAGAATTGTGAATAATATTATGGTATTGAACCCAATTTATTATTTTATATTATACAGTTTAATTATCATGTTACAGATTTATTTTATTTTCACAAAAGGTAAAATTGAAAATATCTGTGACGTAAAGGCCTAAATGTACTCTTTGATAGGCCTACTGTGGACTGCAGTTTCGTCTGTTTAAGGCTCATCAATCAGCATTAGGTCTTTATATCAAATATATTTTAAAATTTAACTTTGGTGTAAACAAAATAAATCTGTAAGACAATCATTAAACAGTTGGTTCACTGTGTAATACAGAATAATATTGATGCACCAAACTGTTCGTGGATCCAAGAAGGCGTGTCATATTAAAAATTGTAAAAACACCACATCAATATTTCAATTAACCACACTAGTTACTATTATGATTCTATGTATTTTACTTAGAAAATGAGTGGTTTCAACAGCTTTGCTTCCCAGTTCTTTACACTGTGTTCTAAAACAAATTAATCAATATGATGCAATATTTGGACCCAGCCGGCATTGAAAGATATAAAAACTAGTCGGTAATTTTGTGTGTCAAACATTTAAGTGACATTATTACAACTTGTGAAAAGATTTGTTGGAAATACATTTAGTCATTATCAGTGTCCGATGTCTCAAAGTTCCTGGCTATGTTATATACATACTACTCAATGACGAGACTGACTGATCACTAACTTGTAAGTTGTATTTACGATCAAATCCGTTCGACCAAACAAGAAAGACAACTCTGTCGAAAAAAACAAGTTAGAGGAATGTTTTATAAGCTAGAACATGTATAAAGTTTTATTAACATATCCAAATCTTACCAGTAGGGGTGGGTCACGATTCCTTAGTTTATTCCAAAACATTCGGACATTCATGGTGCGTCCAGCCACGAAGAAACGAGTTATAATATTTCTAGGTTTTACACGACTCTCCTAAGATTCTGACGCGCATGAGTTATTGCCAAAAGAAATAGAATTAAATGAAATAGAACATTGAACGGGATGTCCCGGTCGCGGAAGTAGGGACTTGATGGAGGGTCACACGCATCAATGATCCGAGATGTATAGCCAGATTCTGTGGCATACTAAAATATGTGGTTTAGCACCTACACCACAGGGCCCCATAGGTTCAACAACTTCGACCCCTTGCGAGTTTGTTCCAACTACACTTAACGATCCGTGATTGTTTAGTAAGGAAACAGAACCCGCCAAGAACAAACAAACAGGGTGATGTTACCATAGATCTCGCGAGGACGTAACGAAGGGCTGTAAGGAACTACGTCGAGAATACCACAAAAAAGCAATATTTCGAAAGACGTTAACGAACTGCCTACCCCTAACATTCACGTACGTTAATAAGGTGAGTGCTAGTAATTTTTCTTCTTCACTTTTTTCGTGATCAATAATATGAAAGTTCAATAATTTGTTTTTTCGCTTGAAAAAAATAACAACCTAAGAACAAGATTTCAAAGCATCTATTTAAAAGTTAAACATAGCCTAAAAACGATTCGTTCTCGCACATATATTATTAAACATCTATTGAATGACTGCTGACGGCAATGAAATGTATTACCATAAACAGGTTTACGCCTACTTTTAGTGATGTGATTTTTAGTGTTAGCAAGAATTCATCAGCAAACTTTCTATCCTTTCACAAAACTTTGCGAGGGGGGGGGGTCTTAGTAAACATACAAGACACACAATACTGTTAAGGTGCTCAGCATCTTTAGACTAATTAGGTAGGGGTCTCAGTCAGGATGTGGAATGCTCTAGGGGGAGGGCTTGTATTGAGAAAGCTTGGAAAAGCTATCTAATTTCAATATCCCCCTGCCATATCAGGACCAAACCATGTTCTAGTAAGTTCATGCGCAATCGGTATTCTTTTGTGTCCGTGAGTGTGTTTGGTGCAAAGCCACACGTTGGGTTATCAGTGCTTTGGGAATCGCGGGAAATCAAGCACCAGATTTTAGCGTTCTAAGTCCTCAAACTTATCGCTGATCCACCAGAAGCCAACAATCGGCAACTTCCACAAGGTTTAGTCACAATAACTATCTAAAAAAAAAAGCGTTTTACTATTAGTATTAAACTTCTGTTTAGCATCTTGTAGAAGGTTTGAAAAGTTGAAATGGTTGTGATGAATTAATAAAAATCATTGCGTTTTTCTATTTGTACGCTTGATAATTATGTATATTTTAGTGACTTATACATGAGTATAAACAGAATTGTAAAGGTTTTATGTTCACTAAACAAGGAATATATATATATATTGATGCCATATGTTTCTAGCGACCCCTAACAATGGCTTACTAAAGCTCATACCGTGGTGTTTTAACATAAAAAATTCAGTAAGATGCAGTTATGGAAGTCAGGTGTGAACTAGTAATTAGCATGTCTGGAATGTAAAGCCGAGGATTCATGGTTTGCACCCCGATTCGTTAAAAAATCCCTCTTTTCCTTTGGAAAAAAAGAAAAGAAAAAAGTTGTTGGTGAGGGCTGTAGGCTAGTTGCCATTCTTCCAACTTATCAGCTCGAAATTAGGGCTGGCTATGCGCGGGTGGTAGTCCCTGTGTAACTTATGTAAATTCTAGAAACGAACAATCACAATTTATGCGTTTTTCTTTATGGCCAGTTTATCCTGGATTAACTTAAACAGCGCAGCTCATTCCATAATAGCTTTATGCAAATATATACTTAGTGTTATAATAAAAATGGGGCTATTTATCACAAAACTGCAACTAGTAGCAGACTGACCAACATTTATGTAACCGAAAAAAATTTAGTAACATTTCTGTTTGTGCGAATTTTTTAAACATTAAATAGAATAAATGCTTTTACGTTTACGTGCCCTGACTTATATTTCAAATTAATTAATTATTATAATTAGTATTATTGATAAGAAAAAGATCCAAGATCTTGCCCTTTAATCTTTGGCATCCTGTTTAATAAACCATATGTCCAGATTTGGTTATGGTTATTTGGTTCCGACTTTGCATGCCAGCTCTACCTTTATTGAGTTATATTATCACGCTACTGTATTATTTTTCCCCAGTGGAGAAATATTAAAGTAAATCAAATTTTATGTCTCTGTTTACTGGTTGAATCTTTAGCATGCTGCCACACGATGTTACTCAACCAAGGAACGTCAGCATACACAAGGATTTGAAAGGTCAATGACACACGACCTGTGTATTTAAGAATCATATTCTCACACAGATAGTCTGTAGCTTAACTTGCTAAGCCGAAGCAAAACTCAATAGTGTAAAATTATACACCCAAAGCCCATCCTTCTGCTTTAGAAATTACTGTTCATACATGACGAATAACATACAACAGAGTAAAATGTATTATGTTAAATATCATATGGTGTATTGTTAAATTGGAGTTTTCATCAAAAGGACACCTTACGTGTGAGCGGGCTAAACGGCCGGTCAGAGAACTCAAGGGCGAAGTAAAGCCGACTTTAATTTTTAAGTACTGACCAGAAAGCATGCAAACAGTCAATAACAGCCACCGCCGCAAGGGCTTTGTCCGGTTCTTTGAGCCGAATATTAGAAATTATTGTCACTTTTATAATACGTCAACAGCTGAAAATTCTGCGTATGTTCAGCAACATCACGTCTCGAACCTTGGATCTTTCTGTCCGGATTCCACCATGCTGGCCACGTATGGCTGTATTAAACATCTTGAATGATTGCACATGACAAACACAGGGTAAGTCATTTATTGCAGAATAAAGTGGCAATATAAAAACAATACAATAGTTAGTTTACTTTTTTGTTTTTCATATGATTTCTGAAATATATACAATATTTGACGATAATATATATGACGATTTCACATCGGTATTTTAGATGCAGGTTTATACTTGTTCAGAACAGGACTAACCTTTACCAAGCTCCATATATCGAGATATTATGATCAAACCATAGAAACTCGGGAAAACTCGTTTTCACGTTCAAGTCTTCAAAGTTGGAGTCATGAGATTAAATATTTAAAGCGCTACAGAATTCTTTACAGAAGGATTGCTAAAGTATTGTTTTTATGGCAAACCTTGTTCGTTTGTTTGTAGTTAAGCACAAAGCTACACAATGGGCTATCTGTGCTCTGCCCACCACGGATATCGAAACCCGGTTTCTAGCGTTGCAAGTCCGTAGACATACCGTTGTCCCACTGGTGGTGGTGGGGGGGGGGGGCATGGCAAAGCTATGAAGGCTGTCTACCACTGTCCCTAATTTAGAACTACTGACTAGAAGAAAGGCAACTAACCAATCACTACTATCCTGAGGGTCCCTCTCCCTCTTACAACGCACCCACAGTTTAAAAGTATGGAGAAATTTAACGATATCGCACGGTTTCGAACCCGGCTCGTCAGCTTCGACAACCTACCAAAGCTCTACCGCAGCCCGGTGGTTAGGGCGCTCGACTCA